TATGATATTGGGGTGTTTGATGCACTATTTAAATCAAATTAATTTATTTATTTTTTTTTAAATATTAAGGTGTAGTGCCTGATATTTAAGCAAGTTGACATATGGCGGTGCCAAAATACATACATATTATATATTAGAACTAGAACTAGGACTTTAAGTCTAAAACTATTTATCTATAGATAAAACCCACCAGAGCCGTCAACACTCCTACACATGTGATTGACCTAGATTTTATATATCTCTTCCCAACTACCAATTAGTATTTACATGTCTGCCACTTTACTCATATACCTAATATCTTAATTTTCAAATTGGTGTATACCAGGTGTGCCCAGTCCCAACTAGCATACTTCCAGGAGTTTATATCTCAAGCCATGCAGCTGCCTCTACCCAGTTAGGTAAGTATCTCAAGCCTGCATACTGCTATAACTAGCTGGTTTTCTGTGACTTTGAGACCAAGGTCTTAATATTTTAAATTCGATGATGTACGAATAACTGTACTTTCCAATATGGTAATGAGGCTTGCCCAGGTATATTTTGCAAATGCTTCTAGTACTCAATATAGTTGGATGGGATCATAAGGCCTAGGAGTTCTTAACAGATGTGTTATTATTTCTATTTATAGTAATTTTTGGCAGTTGTAGTTCCCGGTTACTGCTGTATTCACTAAATTAAATTTATATATAGTCTCATAGTAAAAATAAATAGTAAATTTTTTTGTATATGTTTTATATTAAAACCTCCAGATTTTGACAAATTTTTATCAAATATAATACAAATTTAATATGTTTTTAAAAAAGTACTTTTTTTTGTTTAAAATATAGGGTCTGCTAGACAATTATATAAAATTTTTATGAAAGTCAATATGTAAACTACTAAAAAGATACAGTTTGAATTTTAGTAAATTTTAATAGTATTTTTATAAGAAAATATTAATTTTCAAACTGTATTTCCTCAATATTTTACATATTACTATCTATAAAAATTTTACTCAATTGCTCAGCAAACCTTATATTTTAGACAAAAAGAATGCTTTTTTGAATTTTTTTTTAATTGGAATTTTATTTATTTACAAAATTTTAAAAAATATTTAAAAATTGGTTATACTATCATATAGATAACAATTTACTAACAATATAAACCTGCATCTAATTAAATACTAAAACCCTATGTGATACTAATTTACTATACCAAATACATCATAATTAACAACTAATATATAAAAGCCATCCTAACAAATAAAAAAAAACTCACTTTTTTTTATATAAATTCTGCAAATTTGTACAATCTAATATTTCAATATATATATCATATTTAATAAAAAAAAAAGCAATTCAAAAATCTAATTTATATCTATTCAAGCACTTGTTATCTGTTTTTTTCAGATGTTTGATCCTTATCCAATTCAGGTATTTTATTCTCTTTAATATTCAATTCAGGTGCTTTATTCCTTTAATATTATCTAATTTAAACACTTGTTCTTTTTTTGCATTGATACATCTTTGATATTGTTTATATATTTTAACCTCTTTTTTTATTTTCATTTGGAGATAAGATTTATATACTTTTAAATAAGAAGAATATATGTGATAGCATCTTGGTGGCATTTAAATAAAACAAAAAATGTAAATTATTAAAGAATTAGATATTATTAAACATTATAACAATGAAAAAGATATAGAAATATAATATAAATTCTTGAAGACTTTGATGTTATTTTATAAAAATACTATATAATAAATAATTTATTATTATACAGTATAATGTATCATTTTATTTGATAGTTTTGTTTTAATTAATCATATAATTAGAAATTTTACAAATAAATAAGTATATATATATTAATTATTTGAATATTGACTTATCTTTTTCTTTATTTTTGAATAAATAACAAACATAAACTAAACCTGTTAAGCAGAATTTATTATTAAAAACTTGAACAAAAATACAATTACTCAAATCATAATATGGTCCAGTGTAAAAACATTTGTATCTTAGACATAAAAATTAAATTTGTCTATATATAAATTTTTTTTAATTTCAACTATTTATTTATAAATTTTTTATGCCAAATTAAGTAGAATTTAAGCTATCTTTTGATATATTTTTATTATATTTTTATAGAAATTTTCTTGAGCAGTAAATTTTTAAATAAATTCAATTATTTAAAAAAAAAATTAAAATTTTTGATTTTTAATCATTTTTGCAACCAATATACAACTTTATAAGCTTGTACTATGCAAGTGTATTGTCATGCATATGCTGGATATACATTTAAAATTTTAGCTTAATTGAATTAGTAGTTGTTGAGATATAAATTTTTAATGATTAATAACCAATTTACTATGTAGTACAAAATTTGTACAAAATTTACTATGTAATTTTGTACAACTTTTGTACTATCATTAATTTTTAAAAATTTATATCTCAACAACTACTAATTCAAATAAGCTAAAATTTTAACTATATATTTAGTATATAATAGCAATGTACCTAAATAATTTAAGTTTATAATATTGCATATTGGCTACAAAAATGATTAAAATCTAAAAACTTTCAAAAAATTTTATTTTTTTGAATAAAATTAAATTTATTTAAAAATTTTATTGCTCGATAAAATTTTTATAAAAATAAAATAAAAAATATATTAGAAGATAGCTTAAAGGTAGAGGATACGTAGATCATTTATCATATGATATGTATAGTAAATATTTTTGTATAACAGATAACATAGTAAACACAACCCTAATTGGGTAATTACCTGTTTAGAAATATTTTTACTATTCTTTTTTTGTATAACCCCAGCAAATTTTACTATATAAGGAAGTATATTTTTTAAAATAATATAGCTTTTAAAAATTTTACTACTAAAAATAGAAGGTACAATCTATATTTCACAAAAATTTGGTAAAAATTAATTAGATTCTTAAAAATTTTAATTAGTAGCAAAATTTTACTATCTATATAAGGTCTTTATTTGCCATGCATATCATATGAAAAATGATCTACGTATCCTCTACCTTTAAATCCCACTTTATTCGGCATAAAAAAATTATAAATAAATAGTTGAAATTAAAAAATTTTTATATATAGACAAATTTAATTTTTATGTCTGAGATACAAATGTTTTTGTACTAGACTATAGTTAAACAAAAGCCTATTATCAAAATCAAATTAGTAAATTTATACATTTTAAAATCATATCTCAAACAAAAGTCAATTGTCCAAAGATGTTAAATTCATGAATTTTAAAACCTGCTACTTCAATTAAAAAAGAAATTTTAATTTTTAAAATATCAAACAAAAGTTGATTCTAAAAATATATTGACGCCAGATTCATCTGATACTTTAATTAATAATTCTTAAAACTTTAAACAAAAGTTGATTGTTTAAAAACATGTTAGTTGTGTTGAATTCATGTATTGATACTTTAATTAAAAAAAGTAATTTTGATTCCTAAAATTTCAAACAAAAGCAGATTATTCAAAAACGTATTAATATCAAATTCATTTGATACTTCAATTAAAAAAATTAGATAAAAACCAATTATCTAAAAATGAGTTAGTTATTGAATTTATGTATTTTAAAATTTGTACTTCAATTAAAAGAAAAATTTTATTTATGCAAATATGTTTACTAATCTTATCAACCCAATTAAATTATTGGCCAAATTCTTTATTGTACTTCTTGTCATTTTATTGGATAATTTTTCTATTATCTCTCTTGATAACTTAAGTTGTCGATATTATGTCTAGTTAAAATACTAATTAAAAGACAATAATTATTGTCAAATTAAACACATCTAATAATATAATTAATAAATTGAATATTAAAACTATATAAAAGTGATTATTCTTAAAGAATCGTGAAATTATAAAATTGATAAATCCAAACTTACTTAATATGCTAAAATTACCAAAGCAAAATGCTATATAGCATATATGTAAAATCAATGCAATAAAACTCATCAAATTTATAGAATCATACTCCAAATTAATTTTGAATCTTTTCTACAAGTACACACAATCCTCATTAATATAGTAAATTATTCAAAAAAAGAGGATGTATTTCAAACCATTCATGAAATGCAAAAACAGCAAAAAAAATATATTAAATCTATTTGAGTCAATGTGAAATCTGAAAGAAAAACATGAAAATGAAATAATTTCAGTATATTATCAAAAAAAAGCTTTTAAATTTATTATAAATATAGGTAATCATAAAAATTATAAACCTGAAAATGCAAATATAAAATCAGTAAATAGAAAATTATAAAGAGTAACCAAAATCTAATATGTAAAATTCAGTCTGTAAGCAGATCAAATTAGCATCTTGAAAATAAAAACAAAAAACAAGTTTTAACTAGTGATACAAATAGCTAGCTTGGCTCAGCTCATGGCTAACATTAATCAAGCTGAGCTAATTCTTTGGCTCTCCAAACTAGATCTGAGCTGATTATTTGGCTCCCAAATTAGAGCCAAGCCATTTATAAGCCAGCCAACCTTTAAACTAACAACTTCAAGCTAAGAGCTGTTACTCTAAAAATAAAACAACATATTATGCATTTTTTTTAAAAAAAAGTTATTCCAGATTTAATTTGCTCTCTTTTTTAAAATAAAACATTAGATTTTTTGCAGCTATTTTCATAAAGTCTGGGGCAACCAAAAAAAATAGTTGATACAAAATTAGTAACTTATTGTGTCTGTGTTATAAACTTTTTAACTTGGTTATCAGCAACTATAATAATAACTATAAAAATAAACTCTTTATCAAGCAATTAAATAAAACAATTATAGAAGATAAATATAAAGCTTAGTATTATAAATTAAGATGTAGATGAGTTGATTATTGGCTAACAATTACATAATATACCTATTGGCTTATAGCTCATAGCTCTATGTTCGGCTCCAAAGTCTTGAGCTGAGCCATTTTTAGAGCTAATGCTTTATTAGTAGCTCTGAAGCTGAGCCGATAATTAACTCAGCTTAGCTGTTTGGCTCATGGCTCAGCTCAAGCTATTTGTATCACTAGTTTTAACTATCAAATAATTAATATGCAAATAAAAAAATATCTAATAAAGAATTCAAGCGCTAAGTTAATAAATTGTTTAAAACAAACAATAGTTAATATTTTTTTAAAATAGTTTGGCTTTTAACCAAAATTTCTCAAATTGGCAAACCTCATTAACTGCCACAGTAGAATTATTGTGTCTTGTCTATAAATTTTTAATTAAGAAGTCCTACAAAAATAGTTAGCAGTATCTATACTTAGTACTTGGCACCAAAAAGTTTCGCAAATTGAAACTGAATTTGCAATAAATCAAATTACCCAATACTTAAAGTTGGGAATTCTTATTAACAAGTTAACTCATAAAGAAGTCATAAACTTCATTATATGCATAATGTTCTGAGATAATAAAAAAATATACTATCGGTTGGTGTAACAAATCTTACAAATTTATAAAACTGTACTGGTTAGTCTATAGCAAATAATATCTTTAATGCAATCATAAACTATGAGATTGATCCAAATGAATACTTGGCTTGGATAACTGATAACACAGTATACATGTCTAGTAATAAAAAAGGCACAATAGTTCAATTTAATAAAAAAGCTAATATAAATACAACAATAATTAGTTGTAGTATGCATATTATGCATATAGTTTTAACACATTTTGAAGAAGCAATATTTGGAAAATTACCTTCTTCAATCAGATTTTTTAGAAAACCACAACTATTTAACTTGTTATCTAGTGTGGTATCTTCACAATGAATATAACTCAAGTAACAAGCTTAATATAAGATCAGAATAGATAAAAAATTATATAATTAAGCAATACTAATTGCCAATTAGAAGACACTAAAACTATGGACTATATGCTGCTAAACAATATTTGGACATATGTAGAATTTGCTAATTGGTTCGTACAAATGCTTGAAAATAACCATAGCACACCACAATCATACCTTTTGGACTGGCTAGAAAAAAAATTAAATATTCAGGTTTGGTGTTTAGTTAAATTTGGAAAGCTTTTGTATGAGCCACTAATGCAATTCATGGTTGAAAAAAAACCAATACCTCATATTCAATTAGATCAACTTCTACCTGGTTGTCATACTCATAAGATGCCTAACAAAGTAAATGAGTGGATTGATTATTTAGATGAGCTTAAAGAAAATTTTGCCTCATTTTTTGGAGAAGAATTATTAATAGTGTTAAAATCTCTAAATAATAAAGATTTTAGTAAGCTTTTTGCAGTCTAAATGCAGAATAAATAAAGCGTTTAACTATTTTTTAAAATAGATATTTTCATGGATCCATTTATCATTATCAATTTTATCAGCAACAAATTGAAGGAATTTTTAATAAACTTGACTTGAATACCCACCCAAATATAATGCAAAACCTGAAACAGTCAAAATTAAACCTTTTGTCTAGTAATATAAGTGAAGAAAATATTGCTTTAGAACTTTCAGACATTTATACAAAATATAAAAGACAATTACAAGAAATTTTATAGAATGATCTAGAAATAAATAAAATATATAGAGAAAAAGAAGCAACTAAAATATTTTTAGAATTATTCTGAATCTAGAATCTTAGTATTAATATATAAATTACAAAGTATAAAAAAAATTTGTATATATATCGATATTGATATCAGCTGATATAAATTAAATATCCTAATGATCAATGATCAATAATAAAAAAAAAATTTACTATTTATTTTTACTATGAGACTATATATAAATTTGATTTACAAAGGTGTGGCAGTTTAGTGAAGTGGTCAAGTTATTACTCTACCAAGTGGCAGGTCTAGAGTTCAAATCTCATAAATGACAAAATTTGAAAAATAGACCTGTATTAGGGTAACAAATCTTCTTTAAGTTGTGGCTTAGAGTAACTTGTAGTCTTGGGTCACACCAATACAAAAGTATTGAAAAGTAGTTACGTTTAAAGATTAGGTCACACCAGTATAGCATGTTGGTAACACCAGAAAATGAGAAAATTCTGGAACCCGCTTGGCAAGTTCTGAATTGGGAGTAGCAGCAATCTTTGACAGTATTATATAAAGGTTGAATTTGAACTGGAGGTCTGAGATTGGAGAACCGAACAACTAGCTCCTAAGGCAAAGAACACACTAGCCAAACTGCTGAGTTGTCATACTATAGAAAAAGAGCATATGCTTTGAAAGTATGAACCAAGAGGAGGACATTCTTAAAGCCTAGGCAGACCAACCCTTCCAAGTTGTTAGCTAGAAGTAAGAAAGAGACTAATAAAGTTTCCGAGTAAGAAGACAACTAAAATGTGAATACTGAGGTTGTTGTAAACCTTACAAGAGCAAGAAGTACATAATGAATGACTAATTAAGAAGGTTTGGCTTAAGATATCGATTGTGTTATGGTAGCACCCAAAAGGTGGCATAAAATACGAACACAATAGCAGCAAACAATATGTTCTAATTAGAAAGAAATTACCGAACTTGCAGATGAATATATGTGTAGAACATGTACTACTCTGTTGGGTTTACTATAAAAATAAATATCTTCTGTTGTTGGCTAAAGTCTTAGAGTCTTTTAAGATAAATTACTATTTTCAAAAGAGTATATTAGAAGGAAACATGTGATATTGGTTGAAGCCAAAGAGTTTAAATAGATAGCTTTCTAGTTAGGCTATATGAATACTGAGATTGTTTTGAACTTTACCTTACAAGAGCAAGGAGTACATAATGTATGACTAATTAAGAAGGTTGGGCTTGAGATACAGATTGTGTTATATAGTGCAGGATATCTAGTCATATCAAAGCACTGAATTTTGAAATATATATATAAATATATATAGTAGTGTTAAAATTTTTATTTTTTTTTAATTTTTCCAAACTGCCTAAGCAGTCAGAATGCTGATAGCATCTTTATTAAGGTCTTATATATATTACAGTGAATTTAAGTTACATATTAAGTACTAAGTATATCACCACCAACGGTGATGTTCCCCAGCCCTTAATACTACGTGTTCAGTAACTCTACCTTAGTAGCCCGGGTTCCTGATCCCACGGTGTAGGGCCCCTGTTCTGAGGCCCGCAGTTCGCCACCTTCTACACGGCCTCATCATTCACCTTTTCTATTTTGTGACTTTCACACTTTTTTCTAATTCCATACTCGAACTTACAGATTCTGCATTCATCTCCTCTTTGCAAATTTATCACTTTTTCGTCTCTGTGTTTCCAGTTTTTGGCTTGTCCAATCTACTCCCACGGCCGGTTTTGAGGCACAGGTCTACTCCCGTATACTTTTCGTATTCACTGGTACTTCCTCTTACGGTTGCACCACTTGAGTCTACTTGGGGTCCGTTCGAAATGGAAGGGGCCCTCTACAAGAACAAGCAGGTTCTTTCTTTTATTAGCTTTGTGCTACAAGCCTTGATTCCTATTCAGTTTTTTAAGCCATAGTCCTAATTCAGGGGTTTCTCATGTTAACGACTTTCTTTGTGTCAGATTCCTTTTCTTTTCTGGATGCCGTATGACTCTATGTGGCTATGTCTGCAGCTCATAACCTAAATGTAGTTCTTTTGCAGAGAAAGATCCCCTGTGGGTTTCGAACTCGCAACCTTACGTTTTGAGACCTGGGAGCGCTAACCACTGCACTACAGACCTGCAGGCCCCTAGCGCTAAAATTTTAATAATTAGTGCTAAATTTTAAAATATAGTATTTAATTTTAAAATTCAGTACTGAATTTTTTAAAATTTATATAATGTTTAATAGGGCTGAAATTTTTAAAAGAGATTGAATAAAAAAAAAATAAAATAAAAAAATAAAAAAAAGAGAAATTGAAGTTTGAAAAAAAAATTTTTATATACTAGTTAATCTATTAAAAAATATTTTATAATATAAGCACTGAATTTTTTATATTTACTAATAAAATAAAGTGCTGAATTTTTTAAAATATTAATAAATTAAAGAAATTTTAAACCAAAATAACTTTTTAATAAAAGAATATTTTTAAAAAAACTCTCTATACCAATATTCTTTGGGTCTTAAATAATATTGTTATAGAAAATTTTTTTTTAATTGCTTATTTTTTTAAAAGTTAATAAACTTTTATTACAAGCAATTATTTTTTGATGTAACTAGATGTCCTGCACCATAGTAGCACCCCAAAAGGTGGCATGAAATACAAACACAATAGCAGCAGAAATATATACTAATTAGGAAGAAATTACTAAACTTGCAGGTAAATATATATGTAGAACATGTACCACTCTATTGGGTTTACTACAAGGATAAATGTCTTTTGTTGTTGGCTAAAGTCTTAGAGTCTTTTACAGTAAATTACTATTCCCGAAAGAGTATATTAGAAGGAAACATGTGACATTGGTTGAAGCCAGAAAGTTTAAATAAATAGCTTCCTAGTTAGGCTATATATATGACAATTAGTGTAGAACCCCTAGTATAGCACTAACACTTTGGGCAAACTACTTAAATAGGCAATCAAAAGTTGTATATATGACTAGTTGTACTCTCATGATACTTATATAATATGTAAGCCAGTCTTCAAACAGGTCTACCTGTTTAAACTAATAAAGTGCCAGAGACCTAAGTGGTTACCTCAATATAAAAAAAAAAATAAAATAAAATAAAATTGATTTATATAGCAGATAGTGCATCAAACACCCCACTGTAACGTAGAAAGTAATCAACATTAATATTGTTACTGATCAAAATCAACATAATCTTGATTACATAACACATAACTGAAATTAGAAGCATATTCGAAAGAGAAGAATAAGATTAATAGTATTTGAATAATTGAAAAATACTAAGACAGTTTATAGTCTAAAATAAGAAAAAGACTTTTATACTTTCCGAAGATAATCACTATAAGGTCTAAGCTCTAAGGACTCAGGCCAAGTCTTTCCACACCTCTATTCGAAGCCTACCAACTTGGAGTTTTAACCTTAGTATTAGTTGTTTAGTGATACTGCAGTTGGTGTGTGTTTGGATTAGTTAGTATAGTTTGAGACCTGTATAGCCCAATTTTTTTCAATTCTAGATTAATTCAACCTATCTCAACATACGTACAACAAATCTTTTCCATATTTTAATCCATTTTTCAAATTATTTAAACAAATACTATAAATAGTAAGTTTCACTTAAAATTTTGCAGTTGTCAACACTAAACAGATCAAACCTAAACGATGATCGGTGATATATATATTATTGGCAAAAATTCTTAATTTGGCAAATGAGTATAAGTCGCTTTGCGGCACATGTAGCCAATCATTTGTCAAATTACCGTATTCGCTATAATGGTGTTATCCGGATACATCTATATACCCACTACTCAAAATAGAAATAAACATTATTGTTTATATATTTTCAATATTTATATGTATTGTTTTTTTAAAAAAATACTGTCATTAATGATAGGGTTAAAGTTAGGATAAGGTTGGTGATTTAAAGAAACAAAAATATACTAAAATTTCACAAGAAAATTTTTTTGTTAGAATGCAGAAATTTGTTTATAAGAGAAATTTCAAGATAAAGGCAATTTTTAAAAAAAACATTGGTTTTTTAATTTTAACATTACACACTGATTGTTCGTGTAAATTCAACGTAATGAACACTGATTGGATAAAAAATATGATTTCCAAATCAGGCAGTGGGTACATAGATGCAGTAAAAAAGATTTAAAATTTTTTTTTTGTTCTTTGAGAATATAAAATATTAAATTTATGTTCCCAAATATTCTTATAATAAATTCTCTCTCTCTAGAGGTGTGGTGATTTAGTGTAGTAGTCTAGTCATTACCCTCTCCAAGTGGCAGGTCTAGAGTTCAAATCTCACTGGCGACGATATTTGGAAAATAGACCTGTGTTCGGTTAATAGCTATGCTTATCGGTTGGATCTAGAACTATAATCTGTAACTTCAGTTACACTATCTAGAAATGGGAGCTTCGGCGCAATAAATCTGAAGAACTGGCATAACCGAAAACTCATTTGGGAAGACCCAAATCTGGAGGTAGCAGTGATCTTCGACAGTATTACAAGAGGGCTGAATTCAAACTGGGGCCCGAGATCGGAGAACTGAGCGACCAGGTCCTATAGCAGAGAACACACCAGCCGAATTGCTGGGTTGTCGCACCAGAGGAAAAGGACATATGCTCTAAAAGTATAGACCAAGGAGAGGGCATCCTTCAGGTACCTAAAGCCTGGGCAGACCAACCCTTCCGGGTTGCCAGCTGGAAGTAAAAAAGAGACCGATAAAAGAATCCAGATAATAAGATGGGTCAAATGCAGGTACCAGAGTTGTTGAGAACCGGTTAAGGGCAATGAGTACATAATGGGCACCTAGTTGGGAAGGTTGGTGCTTAAGAAACGTCCGTAGAACGGCAGCACCCAAAAAGGTGGCGTGAGATACGAATACGGAACGGCAGGTCAATATGTACTAATTAGGAAGCCATTACGGAATATGCAGGTGAATGCATATGTGGGATATGTACTGCTCTGTTAGGTTTACCTC